AGGATTTCTCCATAATCGTTATTGCACAAAGCTTGTTTGCTACCATGTAATCGTTGTTGTGGAGCACATTTGGTTTTGAAAGCGTGCAAAGAAAAACTTTTATTGATATTGAAATTGCATTTTAAAAGCTTCGGTGGTGTGCTGCCCATTTTACTCTTTGTTTTCTCCGTAGCAAAGGGAAAGGTTGGGGTTCCTATAAAACGTTTAAGTGTTTTCCCTTTCCCTTTATCTACATTTTGTTGACTTTTGATGTATTCTTATCAAATATTTACCGTTTTCCGCATTCTCTTTAATACAATTTTATGTTCGTAATTGATTATAATCGCACTTTGTAAGCATACACACACTCACAACCACATACATACGTTAATTTTTATTATCATTGTCGTCAGCTTCGAGTCACTCACACTCTTCCACATAATGCCGGCAAAAGGGCAACAAAGCGTAGTCACAGTCGAAGGCAGTTGAGGAAGCTATGAGTTTCTCGATTAAAATTCTCCTTCTCTAATCTATGTCGATCCTGGCACTCCTAACAATAAAAAATTGTGCTAATCCAGTGGATCTTAAGGTTAACACTGTTAAAACAGATGTGGTTCAACGCAAACTTTCAGTTTTGAGCATAGCAAAGCTCGAAGAGGCCGCTTTATAGCCGAAAATTACGATTAAGTTCTTGCAAATCATCAGTTTGGTTGTACTTGGGATCTTTCACATGCCCTCCCGCTCGGGATCTTCATTGTGTTCCTTAAGCCATTAACTTTCCACGGAGCTCTAGCATTAAGAAAACCAACGGGCAAAATAATGTACACAGGAGCCTTCTGACATTCAATGGGCAGCATCACCGAAACGCGCAAAGTAACACCATATGATGCGTTTCATGCTAATCACCAAGAGTATGCCATTCTTAACTACCGCGAGGCTTACGCTTCAAATCAGCTGGCAGACTACACAGCTCCCTAACCATTTTAGTATCTTCCCAGCTGAAGTGATACTATTATAATTGGTGCTTTTTAACCGCTAGAGCAGTTTTCGGACAAGCTCCTCTTCAATTGTATTTTGCTTCTTAAAGTTTTTTCAACAAATAGAAAGGTCAACAGTTTATTATAAGATGCCTCCGAACGGCTGATGGACTCGGTGGATTTGAAACTTTCTACCAAGTGCAGCTACAATTGGGAAAATTAATACAGTTTTCTTTTTGAATTATGTAATTTCCTATGATTTGGCCGAGGATGGTCGAACTCTGGCTTTCCGAATGGCAGAAATGGAGAACACAAGCCAAGCTTAAGGTCCAGGTTGTGTGCTTTTAGAACTGGACGTAACTATGGGCTTACCAGTTCTATTCTAAGAAATCAGGTTCACTCAAAAACGACAATGTTACGTCAGCTGCTGCAACTTTAATCAGAAAATAAAGAACCAAAAAGACTATTTCAACTTGCAAAGGGAATAGCAATGTTCTTCCAATTAAATACACCACAAGGAGTGCAGCATTACAGCTTTGGGTATGTTGTGTATGTGATAACATTGTGTACGAGGATCTCGTGAAACTTGCAAGAGTCAGCCAGCTCAACCTTACCTAAACGAACGTTTAACTAAAACTGCAAAGTAGGCTTCGCTTTATGGAAACTCTAAAACTAGTAATTTCTTGTAAGTGTCTCGAGACCTCAGCTGCAAGCGAACTCCGAGACTATGGGTTAGGAAGGAGCATTTTGAAGCCAGGATTTGTATGTATCCCTTCTCAACCTTTACCTGTAGAAACCAAAATTAAAGCTTCCTGACTGGTCGAAATTAGAAGTGTTTTCCAGTAGTAAATTTATTTCTTTGGAAGCATTTTTTCATTGAAAAGTCATTATGTTTGGCAACATTCAAAAATTAAACGAAAATCCCAAATCATTTAAGCCCAATGAGTTCATATTCTTTTAAACGACCTTAACTCGAAAAGTTTTAATCTATTTGAAATTCGATAATTCATCACAACAAAATGTGGAACAAAGCACAAAGTTTTATTTAAAATCAGCTCTATTGCACAAGTCGAAAGAAGAGTGCAGCGATAGCAAGATACAACAAGGATCCTCGTGCCACAGTAATTAAAGAGTAAGTAATAAAATAGTGGTGACCAGAAAAATGCCATAAAACCAAAAATTGGGAGTGTGTTTTTGTAATCACTTACATATTAACAGTGCTATGTGTATATGTATGCAACAACAACTATACTCATACAAAGCGAACATGAAATTTTAGACCAACAAATTTCTTGCTCTTCGACAGCTCCTCATCTTCTTCGACAGCCTGCATATACACACCCATATATGTACATGTTTCAAGTAGATTTTAGGGTATTTTATGTATGTGTATGTGTGTGTGTTTGTGTGTGTGTGCCTGTGTGAAAGCTAGCAATGTTTGTAAACTCATAATTGGAATTAATTATGCATTCGCACTTTATGGCCAATGTGATGGAGTGAAGTTTTTGGCACAGCAATTCCCTCACTGCCAAGCATCGACTTGCCAGTGGCATTGTTAAGGGAAGCGGAAATGGTATTTTGGAAAGGAGGAATAAAAAGAGATGTGGTATTGTTGGGAAGACTGTTATCTGACTGATAGTTGATAGCTGAGTGCCTTTCTGACAGAGTAAACACTTATAAAATCAAAGACACACACCCCCTCATACAAGTATACATACATACATATATATATATCTATGTGATTATTTGAAGTGTATGCAGAGTCTTATGGGTGTGCGTGGAAGTCGATTGCCAACCACAAAGTGTTGTTGCCACTGCGATTAGTTTAAATATGTGGCAAATTCTCGGAAACAAACAGATACACACACTCATACCGTTATGTGTGTAGAGGATATTTTAAATACCATATTTAACGTGCATGGGTTCGTATATATGTATTGTATATAAATATGTGTTTTAGCGTATGCTATTTAAGAGCGTGCCATCCAATAATGGTCATGGCTGTTGCTCTCATCTCCTCATCTTTGGGCAAGCAATTTTGAAAGTTCATTTTCTTGGGTTAAGTGCAATTTGCACTAATCGTATTTTTCAATGCTCACACTATCTGCTAATCGAGCATTTATTTAAGTAACTCGAGTGTGCTGTGGTGGAATTTAGCGAGAAAGTTGCGTCTGAAATTGTTTCTCCAAAGAGATGCTGCAAAAAAATTCACCTTCCAATTTCGGCACTTAAATAAGACAAAAATACCTCTGAAATTGTTGCTGAAGATTTTATCTATAGACGTTAACTATGAATAACAGGTCACAGCTTAAAGATGACTGTTTCAGAAATAATTTACTTAGTTCTGTGTGTATTTCAGAAACACTGTTATCCAGCCTCGGATGAGAGATTTCACTTTTGATGACGGCCAATAACCAGATATTGCTGCTGTCAAGGTATGAAATGCCTTTCAGTTGAATAGTTGGTCATCCAGTTTCAATACCTTGCCATTGTCCCCATCCTTTCATTTCCCATCATTAGTTTCCAACCAAGGTCTTCACCAATGACCATTAAACCAGCGACTTTCTCCCTACTCGAACTTTCTTTCCTATATGCACATGCCTCTGGTGTCTGGCTCTAAATTAGGAAGTTGCCGCTAACCAGGTGGTTTATGTCGTCTGTAAAATGAAACTGGTATCACCACTGTTCAAGAAACGCAATAGACGGGACTAAAACGGAAGACAAAGTGTTCGTACAACCCTAGTTAAATCTTGATTTTTTCAACAAAACGCTAAAAACACACGTGTTCAAAGATTACTTTTGTGAGGGTCTACAATGTGCAGATAAGCGCAACCACCGCTACAGTATCGGAATAGTTCTTGGCAATATTAGCACCAAGGTAGGGAATCAAGGTATCTTCGGCACAACAGTCGGAAAACTCAGCCTAAAATACAATTAACTATACACAATACAATATATACAAATTTAATTATAAGAAAATTAATCAAGAGACTTGGTAAGATGGGGACCTTACATCGACCCAGGTCACTGTATCGTCTCAGCCGAACGGCGCAGCAAGAAACTTCCATCAACAGGCATAAGGAGGATGAGATAGAGGACCGCAAGTCCTTACGTCTGAGTTGAAGATTGCGTACCGTGATTCGGAAGCCACGGGTTCAAATCCCCGTACAACCAACATCCAAAAGTTATAGAAAATTAATTTAAATAAAAAATTAAGATAAATTGCTGTCGCCCCTCGGAAGGGAATGTCAACCCCTCCGAGTGTATTTCTGGCATGAAATAAAGCTCCTCACAAGAAAACCATCAGCCGTTCGGAGGCGACTTAGTATAAACTGTAGGTCCCTCCATTTTTTGGAAAAACATCAAGACGCAGAACCACAAATTCGAGAAAGAGCTAGGCCGAAAATCGCTTCAGTACTTACAAAGCGCCAATTATATATGTAAGGGAAAGCAGAAAGCCAAGAATCAGAAAAGCTAGAGAAACTGACGACTTGAGTTTCCTTGAGTCAAGCCACTAACTTCCAAGTGGTACTGAGTTTATAGATAAAAAACTTGTATAGTCCGTTAGCTTGCAATGAAATTGAAACACCTAAGATGATGGATCCGATTCCCCAGTGATTGAAGTGCGAACAAAAGCAATGAAAAACCATGAATCGGCGAGGATTACTAGTTATCCGGCTGAGTTGTTAAAATATTTTGGGGAAGAATTTTGGTTAAAGTAACACAATTACCATTTTTTATGTTAATTAAATCGCAGGTTTAATTCTAAGTGAGGTGGTCTATGGAAGAGAACGGTAACCCCTGAAAGGTCAAAAGCTCAAGGGTTAAGAGTTCTTCTACCTTCCTTCCTTCGTCTGATATTATGTAACCTTCCTCCATTTCAGTTTTAAAATCTATGACAGACTACAGATATCGGATGTGCTTCAATTTTATTGTATTTACAGATAAAGTTAACAATATGTATATATATATAGGAGTATGTAAGTACATATACATATCTACAAAATCCATCATAAATATTAATTAGCAATATAAATTCTCAATAAAAATATAATATTTATAAAATAAATTTTTTAACTTGACACACATTATTTATTATATATGCAGCAACAACACACACTTATTTTTAACACCTTAAGGAGTGGACTCATTCCCATTTAATTCTATTTAATTCTCTTCATTTCGTTCGTCTTTTCTGATTTCATGCTCTTGCATTAGCTCTGACGCTTTCACTAGGCGCAAGTATTCGGGCGTAAAAGGCAAATCGTAGGCTTTTATCAGCGCCTCATCGTCCTCCTTTTCCGCTTCTAGTTGCTGTAACACTTCACGCCGCCGCCGCGCTTGCTCATCGTTGTCCGTGTCTGGTTCTTTATCAACTACGGTTTCATCTCTACCTTCTTTACCCAGCTGTGGCACCTCCGGCTGATGTACCTGTTCCTTAGACGGCTGTTGCTCTCGCTGTACCTGTTGTTGGTGTTGACCTTGCTGTGGCTGATGATCTTGTTGCGTTTGCTGTATCTTGGGCTCACGCTTTCTCTTCTGCATCTGTTCTTCTCTGACACGTTCCAGAAAGTCGAGATCCTGCATTAGATCATCTCGCAAACCCACCATTTGCTGCTGGTCTTCAAAAGGTAGATCCTCGTATTGCCGCAGCAATTTCTTAACAACACTCGCTCGCTCCTCAATGCGATTTGGATCAATCAAACGCACCTCTTTGCTGAAATCATTGAAAGGAGCATCGATGCTGTCGCGTTTCTCCCGAACTCCCTCTGCCGAATTGCTGTCGTAGATCTCTAGAATTTGGTCGTAGAATATTTTCAGTTCCGGGGGCAACGGTATGCACGAGCGTTGTTGCACTTGATCATCGATTATGATGCTGATCGCTTCCATGGCCTGTGCCACCATATCCTCTATGTGATTTACGTCGTCCTTTTGCTATTGTTGTCATAATGTGGAGAAAACAGGAAATGCTTTTCAATTAATTTACATGCAAAAGTAACTATTTCAGCTCAGACCATTTTCTCAAAACTGTTGTCCGGCGGTGGAATTTTCTTCATACATTGTTGGTTACGTTTCAAAACGGACCAGAGGGATTTCATTTGTGGATTACATTTCGCCATGTTGAACATAGACTTGACTATTTGCAGTGCTCCCTTGCCATTCACAGTGCTCTCGTCACAGCTAGAAAGGTTATAAAGGAAAGAGAGTAAGAGTCAAGCGTCAGAGTTTTCATATTCACCTCTACACTCACGTCGGCTTGACTTTGGGACATTTACGCCTTCGTGTATATCGCTGTAGTTGATCGAATTCGGGAAAGGCAACGCCGCGACGTTCACGATCTTCACTTTGCACTTTGAATGTGCCATTGCCGAAAAAGTTTTTTGCCTTTTGGTCGCCCATAACGCTCGCATTGATTGTGATATTCAGTTTCATGGCCTTCCTACTTTCATGGTCCGAACCTAATGGTCGCATAGTAACTGGTTGAATTTCAATGGTCATATTAATTGCTTCGTTGTTCGTATTAGCACAACTATTACCATCGGTTTCCTTTCCAACGCCGGTTTTGGCACCATCATTACTTCCGCCCTTTCTTGTATCGCCGTGGCGGCCCTCAGCATTACCTTCATTGCCAATAGGTTTTCTTTGCGAATTGTTTCGATCTTCTCCGACACCTCCTTGCCCACTTTTGCCTTGGCTACCATTCTCACCATTCCCTCCACTTCCAGTTCCATGCACACCACCTCCACTCCCTGTCTGCCCACTACGTCCATCGTCTCCTGCACAGTTATTACTAGTTTTCTTATCATTGAAATGTCCCCCAGCTCCTCCTTCTTTGTTGGAGCTGTTATCCTCTCCTCTGCCGCTGTTCGTTTCTGTTCTGTTTTTTGAGTTGCCACCGGAACCACCTTTACCATCGCCATCTTTATTCTTTTGTACTGACTTTAGGAAGCTCTCTAAAGTACTAAATGCCGTACAGTTGAGTAGTTGATCATCCAGTTTCAATACCATGCCGTCGTCCTCATCCTTGCATTTCCCATCCTTGGATTCTTTACCTTTACCCTTGCTAAACCAACCAAGGGAAGGATCTTCGCCAGCACCATAATCTTCGTCTTCACCATTGCCCATCCTCTCATTCACCACACCAATCTCTCTACTCGGGCTTTCCTTCCTTTCCACGCTTTTGATGACACCATCCTCAATATTTATAGTCAAAGCTGTATGTTGTTGATTGGGCCGATTCTTCTTTCTTTCATTTTTTTCATCTTCATCATTTTTGGCCTGTGCATTACTGCTATCGGGATCATCGTCCCAAGGATCGTGCCCATACCAGAGATTGTCTATCGGGACACCATCCAAATTACGCGCATATTGGTCAGACTGTTTAAGATTGTCGAATTTCTGATTGCCGAATTCACTAACAGTTTTTTCTAAGTCCGTTTCTCGCTCCTGCTCATGACCACGATTTTGGAAAGGCAATCTTCTCAGCCGCTCAATCAATTCGCCATATTTATCATCACGGCCGTCGATGTAGTTGACAGCTCTGCCAGCATTTTTTGAGTATGCAGATCTGGCTGCATTCATTGCCTCACGATCCGCCGCTATAACAGCCGCATCATCTAGCGCTTCATGGCTTTGGCTCAAGGCTCGATCGCCTGAGTCGCCAAGTTGCATGGAATTGCGCGCATGGCCCATCATCGATGCTGCATTTAAGAGTTTCCTGGCATCGCCGCTATTATCATCGATGGTGTCCACAGCGTGGGCATACCGTTTGTCCATCGCATGCTCAACGGTGTTCGCGGTCTTTTCCTCACTTACAGTTAGCTTCTTTTCGTTATCCTTCTCATCATCAATTGGTTTGCTCGCCTTAGCCTCGTAGTTTTCTTTCGATTTTTCTTTCTCTTTTTTCTCCTTACTGTCTTCTCCATTATCAGCCTCTCGTCTCATTCGAAGCTCACCCTCTTCGTTCAATGACTGTCGTGTTCTCTCGGTGCCATCTAGTGCATTTGGGCTATCATCATTAAATACTTCAGGGTTGGCCATGGCCACATCTCGTCGACGTCTACGTAGCACCTTCTGTTTTGAAAGCTCAACCATTTTCTCTCCGTCACTTGTTCTTTGAGCTCTTTTTCCATTAGCAGCACCGACGTCTTCCTTTTCTTTGGCTTCCCTCTTGGGTTTAAGTTTTCTTACCATCATAAAATCCATTAGGCCACCAAGGTCAACTTCCTTAACATCGCTGAATTCTCGGTCTGGATTATTAACGTCAATACGCTTAACACGTCGCTTGGGATTATTAGAGCCCTGCATGTTGTCAGCTTCTCGCTTGAATTTGAATATGGTCATATCATTTTTCACGTCATTATCCTTGTCGCGCGTTCCTTTCTCGTCGTTGTTTTTAGACCCCACATCTTGCTCGCCACAACGCTTAGAAACTTGGCTATCTGAGCTTTGTTCCTCTGATTCTTCACTATCTTCGACTAATTGTGCATCTTCAACTTCCTTTACTTTCTCTGTATCTATGACATCAGCAACTGCGTCGTCCTGTGAGAGCTCATCCGCAGCGGGGACTTCCGGAGCTGGGACTTCGTTGGCTGTTGCGGGTTCATCATGGTCCACCGGAAAAAGATCTGGTATCTGCATCACAAGTATGTCTTCTGGCGAAATTTCGCTAACATGACGCAAAACTTCTTCAATATTTTCATGTTGGTCTTTACTCACACGCTTTGGGCACGCCGATGCTGAGAGCTTACTTTCGCCATTTTCATTCGATGGTTCACTTTTGCGCCTTCGTCGCAATATGCTGTAGGTTGGTTTAATTATTACGTCATCATCGGTCTTACCTTTCGGATCATTTTCGGCAGATGGAGTTTCTACCTCACTCTCGTAGAGTAATTTTTCGTATGTACGCTCTTCTGCTGCTTCCATACGATTTAGACGTTCCTGCCAATCCCGTTGCTCTTCGGATATGCGAAGCTTTGGGCGGTTGTACTCATTGGAGTCAATCAGTTCACCTATTTCACTTTGCCTTGGGACAGCGATGTTTTGCTCCAACTTCTTTACCGCTTCGTCCAATTGTAGTTCATGTTGTGTCTCGGAGAGTGCATAGCTGGGCAACGAGGGACCCAAGCCCTTTGCCATAAGACGTGTGCTAGTCTTTAGTTTAATCTCATCCATGGCATTGAAGCCCGCGCTCCGCTTCCAAGGAATATTTAATTTATTGCCCATACTCAACAATTCGTGGCCACTCTCACTTACTAGTGGGCGACTTCTTCGAGGTTCCGACTGCTCTTGCTCGATTTTGGAAAGTTTATAGTCCGCCTCGTGAGAGAGATCATTGCGACCCAAATCGAATTGATCATTCACAATGCTAGGGAAATGTATATTCTCAATAGTTTTCTCATAACTGATGGGCTCATCGTCATCCTCGTACTCGGACCTGGACTTTGACCTGGAAAAATCCTCCATTTGAGAGTCAAAGTCTAACTTTAAATGCGGAAAGTCGACCTTCTCCATCATTTTACGCATTTTCGGATCAACTTTCTTCTCATTCAGCTCCTCTAGATTATCCATACTTTTGGGATGTAAATTCCTATTTGCCTCGAGAAGTAAGAGCGTATTCAAATTGCCTTTACCTGGTTGTACTTTGTTCGGTGAGGGACTGTGAAGATTTGAAGTAAATTCGAGGTAAGTTTTTTCACCCAGCGAATTATCGGCGCTCTTGGAAATCGGCTTGCAGCTGATGAACGCTTTGCTGAATATAGTCGAGCCAGACGCAGAGTTCTTATGACCGCTTTTGCCGCCTTCGAAGTTTGTGTTTGAGTTAAAATTATCGATGGCGTCAAATTTAGAAAATGATTGCGGTCGCGGAGGGCTCAGTGAGTCCGATTTGCCGAAATCGAAATCCACGTTGAAATCATCTTTTGAGCTCAAACTCGATTTCCAATTGTTGTTGCCATCCTTATTTTCATTGTAATTATAATTCGAGTTGTAAGTGTCGTCTTTTGATATGGCCCCGCCACCTCCCGTTTTATAATCTTTATTACTTTGGCTGTTTTTATTAGCGTTGTTGTAGCTGTGGTTTGGTTCCTTATCTTTGTTGGTATGCTTCTCCTTGTCTTCCTTGCTTGAGCCACTATCACTCGAACCCGAATTCGCCTTACTGCCCTTGCTCTCAGAGCTGCGTTCTCTTTGCAACGCATCATCCATTCTGAGTTTCGTTTGACTGTTGTGGAAAGTGTTCAACAATTTACGGTGAATATTTTGAAAATTGGAATTCGCACGCACCAAATCATTCAGTTGGTCATTGACGTTGAATTTCTTAGACATTTCGTTTTTATTGTTTTTGTAGTCATTCCTTGCAGGACGCACATCTAGCGATTGCAACAAGCCATGGTCTGAATTGAGTGCCTCCCGCTGCATATTCAATCGCAAATCTACCTTCGAGTTCTGGAGCAGTTCATCGATCGATTTGCGTCGTTGTCGCTGACTTTCGGCGTTGCCGCGCAGCGCCGGCGATTCTTCCACGTTCCGCAGCGCATTCGACGCTTCGTCCAGTGTTCGTTTGAAATCAAAGAGTTCGTCGCTTGGTGAGGCGTGTAAGCGTTGAAGTTGCAGGGCAATCGTGAACGCAAAGAAGAAAATCGCGCACGAAAATTTCATTTCTTCTTTGAGTTTAAAAAAACATAAAATATTTGTCAATAATTATTTTTTTCTTTCACATTTGCTTGTTAACTTGACTTTTTCTATTGGAATGAAACGTTCAAAAGGTAAAAGGTATGATAAAACTGTCAAGAGAAGAATTGATAATACAAAATTGTTTTACAGGGTTACACGTATACCTGCTTGTTTTTTTTTACATTTTATGTCTCTTTTATTTCAGCTGGCGGATAGTCAACGATTATTTTGGGAAACACTCCCTTCTCTATTCGTTAATCTCAGATGTTGTGGAAGCAGATGAAGTGACGAGATCTACTCTGGTGGAAATCTTAGATAGAGACGGAACGGGCTTCACGACTGGCGCGTATTTGTTGACTCAGTTTTAATCCCGTAACTAAATAATTCTATATCCTATTCTAAGTCGGCAGCCACGGTAGCCGAGTTCAAATTCTAGTATCGTAGTAACATCTAAAAATTTATAGAAAATTAATTTAAATAAAAAATTAAATACAATTTTCAAACTGCGGCTCCCCCTCGGCAGGGAATGTCAACCTCTCCAAGTGTATTTCTGACATGAAGTAAAGCTCCTTATAAGAAACCCATCAGCCGTTCGTAGGCGGCTTAGTATAAACTGTAGGTCCATCCATTAGTTGGAAAAACATCTAGATTCAAAGCCACAAATTACAGGAGGAGCTCGGTCGAAAATCGCTTCAGCGGTTACAAAGCGCCAATTATATACTCGTATATATATATATATATATATACATATATATATATTCTAACTAAATTTACCTGCAGCCACGAAGTCGATGTTCTCCGGGGTTTTGTCTAAGATTTAATCATAGTGAACAATTATTTATAAATGTTCCTGCCGCGAATACTCTGTGAGCTCACTAAAAAGTTAACGCTCGAGATCTATGAAGGCAAAAACCTTCTAATGCTCTAATGATCAATCTCCGTTGGGAAGTTTTCTGCTATCCGCTGGTAGCAAGCTCCATGTATCCATTTTAATTTCTATCAAAAACATTCTAATTAATGACCGTAGCAGTGGCCTCGTGTGAAATGCACTAAATAGGATAGCACGATAAACACCGTGTACGCCACAAAGCCATTGATGCAACAGGATGCCAACAACAACAAAAGCAGAATATAAAACTCCACTCAACGCAAACTTTTGGAAATTCGTTTTTGTACTTGTACAGCGCGATGCAACAGGTGTTCTGCACCACACCCACACACGCACGCGCACACTTTTGCAGCACCACTCTTCCAACTAACGGCAAATCAAAGTTGTAGTTGGGGTAAATCTACGCCTTTCGTGCACACACACTCACATATAAGTGTATATTCATTTGGTTGTTACTCATTGTTGAATTCTATTGAATTTGAAAACTTTCAAGACATTTCCGCTGTTTGTGCTGGCGAGTGTGTGTGTGTGTGTGAGTGTGTGTGCATGCGCCGTACCTAAGCAGTGATAACAAAATAATAATAACAATAATATTTTTCTGGCGCACGTGTGGCAGAGACTCCTCGTTGGATGAGCGCGTGCGTGTGTGTATGTGTAAGTCACCTCAATTCAGTGGAAAAGTTTTTGAAAACTTTTCAGCACTGCACTCTCAATCGCAACATCCTCATATGCCACACGCATACACACGACATACGGCTTGGTGGCAAAACGAACGCAGCTCATTCATTCCGCTTCACTTCCGCCACGTGCTGACAGTTGTTGTCATTGTCGTCACATAGTGCAACATTTCCTACGCCACATCCGCGGTGCAGAAATGCAAGTAAAAAGACCTCAGTAGGGAAGAGCTAAACTCGACGGCATATCGAACGAGGAGTAATTTCGATTAGGCAGGCTTTAATTGCCCTTACTCGGATGACAGTCATTCAGATTGGCCGCGATAGGAAGGTTTGGCAGACAGTGGAAATGCAATTTTCGATGAGTTTGTACAATTTTCGTGAGTTGAAAAGAAGATCACCGTTGGCGTAACAGCAGCATATTTCCCAAGTTACTTTAGTTAAGTTGAGGAAGTGACTGTTTTGGGCGAGTAACGTCCGTGTCGTTCCGGCATAAAAACCTGCTTGGAGACTGATACTCCTTTTTGATTTTTGCAAGTCAACTTTGATCCCTATAGCGAACCAAAAATTCAAAAATTTTCTAGAAGTTACAAACGAAAGGCAGTCTGACCGGCAGTCGGCGAAGCTTTTTGATAATTTTGAAATATAGAAGACCATCAGCTCGTGGTGAAAGGGCTTGAGCAATAGCGGTCGATGCGATGTGTGAGCCCACTAAATAGGATTTATATTTAATACAAAAAACAGGGTGTTTAAGTGTTAAATAAGCCATTAAGTCAAGATCGTTATATGCGCTTGACGTGGTTCTGTATCAACTGCTTCGCTCGAAAAGTTGCAGTTTTTTCTGCCACCAGATTTATAGAGTGAGGTTGTGAGAACCAAAACGATTTGACCATAGCGAAATAAATACCATAGCAACTCACAATATCTTCAAGTTAATCAGGCTGAGTCCTCCAAAGTTTAGGTATCAATAGCTGCTCACTTGCTTGGTGAAAAATGCAGAGGTTGAAAGCTCTTTGGGCACATGAAAACTCATATCCGACATAAGACAGAGATAAGATTTGTTTCAAATCTAAGAGGGCACAAACTAAGGACCTATGACACCAGTATAGGAAAAGCACATTTATACTTACGGCTACAATAACGGATCACAATTATCGCAACGGCCAATCAGAAGGAAATAAGAAATCTGTCTTAATATTGAAAAACTGTGCACAAAAAGCATATCTGATATAAGTACATGGACCTGCCCTAGTAAGTGTACAGATTTTCTTTAGATTTCAAATCTTTTTTGTCGATCGAAACATCTTTCCACCCATATGGCGATTCTGGGAGGTTAAGAGAAGGAATGCGTGCGATGGAGAAGAACAGAAAATGTAGCGAGCAAAAAGCAAGTACCGGCTGTATTTAGTTGGCATTGTGATGAAGGAAGCAGACTCATTAGTAACTATAAATCTGAAACAGAGATTTTCTCTTCCAAATGTAATAACGAATGACGCCGTGACACTTCTCAACGTACTGACCTCCAACCAGTCTCGTTACATAGGGAAAAGGTCTTACTCCAATACCGTAAGAGCCTCAGGAAACTTGCTTTCGGGATTCGCCATAGTTTCTTCGAAAACAATATATGGTTTGATGAAAAATTCTTCGAGCAGCGGTACGACCTAAATGAGTATTGGAACGCAGCTCCCTTGTATTCGTCATTGAGAAAAATCTGGAATATTTTTACTTACCCTCCCGTCGTGTCCGCTTGCACTTGCTTATGAGATGAACGCAGGTAGAATACCTTGTGCAAGATGTTGCATGCGGCTATATAGTGTTATCGAGGTAAAATGTAAATGTATGTTTATATGTGTGGTTGTACGATTGTACGCTGCCACTTTGATGCTTTTTGCATGTCATCTGCAACTCGTTTTTTCTCCTTTGCTCTGTGTGTGGCGGATCCTCTTCTATTGACGTAATCGCTCGCCTTTCATAGCGCACCATTTTATTATTCTTTCACTCACCCACCTGCTCTTAACCACAACGCCACATCACCACATCGCCACATCGCCACATCGCCGCATAGTCAATGCTCACTCAGCCAATATGTTTTACAACAATTGTTTTAGTTTGATTTTTGCTGCTCGCTGCTTGATTTGTATTCATTCATTCGCCTTTCACCAGCTGACAAGTCGATTGTAGGCTCAGCTTTCATATTACTTTACCAGCGCCAATGTTACTTTTCAGCCCCTCGGGCTATACCATATCCACCTGTTGTTGGCGCACTTGATCTGTGTGGTTGTTAGTCTTGCTGATGTTGTTGCTGCTGTTGCTTGTTTAACTTTTTCAAACAATACAATTTCCTTTTAAAACTTTGTAACGTTTCTATTACGTACATGCACATACTCGTATGTGCTTATCATATTCAACACCTACAAACACATACACACGCTTTATGAAGTGAAAAACTAAAGGGTGATTTTTTAGCTATTATCTTTTGGGCAACACTGGTGAAGATCAGCCAGAAGCATTGCCAGAGCTACCAATGTATCCAGAAAAAGTCAGTTTGGTGCGGTTTATGGACTGGTGGCATCATTGGATCTCACGTCTTCAAAGATGATGCGATGATGAATGGTGAGCGTTACCGTGAGATGATATCAAACTTTGTTTTGCCCAAAATGCAAGAGCTTGACTTGCATGACATGTGGTTTCAACAAAACAATGACACATGCCACACAGCACGCGTAACAATGGAGCTATTGAGAGGCGAGTTCGGTTCACATTTGATCTCACGCTCGGGACCGTTCAACTTGCCGCCTAAATCGTGCGATTTAACGCCTCTAGACTATTTTTTGTGGGGCTATATTAATTCTAATGCCTATACAGAAAAGGCCGCTTTAATAGACGCATTGGAGGACAACATTGAAGCTGGAGATACCGGCCGAAACATTGGAAAGAGTATGCCGAAATTGGCGCAATCACGGTCAACATATGTACCGTACTATCGATTCAAATAAAGAATTCATGCATTTCTCAGAATTTTATGTGTTTTTCTGAAAAAAATCACCCTTTATATATAGTATTTGTCTATACTTATTTTCCTGCGCACATACATACATATATGCATATTCGTATGATTTTGCACCTACTTACATGTGTTTATTCATAAGTTTTCCATAGAAATGCGAAAACTTCCACATACAACTTACATACATATAATTACATACATATATTCAAATGTACAGACAAATACATATATGAAATAATGAAATGAAACAAAGACCTCGCCCAACATTTCCCCTCAACAGTATCTCGCTTCCTGCCTATTATCTTCCAGTTGTGAGTGACATGTGTACTCGTCCATATTTACATACGTGTATTTATGTATGAGTGTGACACTTAATTAAATTGACACTTGATTACATTTATAAATAGTTATTGTTCGCTTAAAATGTTAACAGTTAAGACAACTTTAATTAAATCAATCATATAATACAAGAAAAGTGCC